GATACTCCCCCAGCTCAGTGAAGCCTCCGCTTCTGCGGTAGTTTCAACAGAGAACCCTGATGCAAAAGACTCAGGTTTTCAATGTTGATCGTTCATGGGGCCTTTCTTAGGAAATACAGACTTACCCATTTATATGATGTTGCCTCACCCAGCCCTCTACTTACTTTCTATGGGGAAAAGCCAGGTCACACCCAAATAACCATAGAAGGCAGCTTACCTATGCATTATTTAGGGACAGCAGGTCTGCATAAAATATTCCCCATTCAAAGATGAGAAAGGAGAAAGCCACCAGTATGAATCTAAAAAACATCACAAAGTAATGTAGGAAGCATCTAAGCATGCAGTTTCTAGAATCGGAATCCCAGTTCTACCATTTAGTAGCTATGCAACCTTGATGCTTAACCTTTCTATGCTTCATTTATAAAATAAGGGTAATCATTGCGAAGAAAATGAAGATCATGAAGATTAAATGAGATATGTATGTAAAATACTTCCAAAATGTTTGGCACATGGTACCCATTAGGCATTAGTACCCTCACTAAATTATTAGGACTTTGCAAAATAAATATTGGATGCATCCTTTTTGCTTTTTACCAAGTGTTCTGGTTGCTCTCTCAGGTATGTGAACTTCCCCTCTCCTTTAGAGTTAGGCAGGGTGGTGTGACTTGTTTGATTATTCAAATGTGAGTAGAAGTCAATTCTATCCCTTCTGGGAGGCAATTTTAAGAGTTAGTGCATGAGGGGCGCCTAGGTGGCTCAGTCAGTTAAGTGTCTCCTTCAGCTCAAGTCACGATCCAGGAGTCCTGGGATCAAGCCCCACGTTGGGCTCCTGCTCAGCGGGAGCCTGCTTCTCCCTCTGCCTGCCACTCCCCCTGCTCATGCTCTCTTTCTCCGTCTCCCTCTCAAATAAATAGATAAAATCTTAAAAAAAAAAAAAAAAAAGAGCGCATGAATCTGCCAAGCTCTTTCTCCCTCTCACAGGAGTGAGCCCCAGCCAATTGCTATAACATGAGTGAAAAATAAATTAGAACAATAAATCATTGTTCTAAAAAGAAGTTGAGGGTTTTTTTTTTATTACTGTAGCACAACCTAGCCTATTATACAGAAGTATAAGGTAAATGAGGAGGATGGTTTTTGAAAGTTTACCTCTAAAAAAAAAGCAAAAAGAAAGAAAGTATTGTTTTATACAGTTAGAGATCATAAAGATTAAAAAGGCCTATTGAAACAACAGTTAAAACATGAAATGACAAGGTATCTGCTTGTAGACTACATGTTTGTGTCCCCCCAAAATTTATATGTTAAAATCCTAAGCCCCAGGTGAGGATATGTGAAGTTGGGGTCTTTGGGACCTGATTAGGCCCAGCCCTGATGAGTGGGATTGGTGCCCTTATAAAAACGGATCTCACCTTTCTGCCGTGTGGTTAGAGCAAGAAGACAGCTCTCCTGAACCAGGAAACAGGCTGTCACCAGACACAGAATCTGCTAATGCCTTGAACTTTCCAGTCTCCAGAACTGTGAGAAATAAATGTTTGTTACTTAAGCACTCAGTTTATCCTATTTTGATGATAGCAGTCTCAAAGGACAAAAGACAAAATCCAGATGTGATTAACAGTAAGGTAACAAAGTCAAAGAAAATCAGGAACTCAGTGTAGCAAGAGTTGGGTCAGCTCTGAGACTAGCATGTGCCATTATGTTGGAATTAAGCCCCACCTTGAAGTTTAGGAAGTGATCATGGATCTGCCTGAAGATCGCTACAAAACTATTCCTTGCAGTACTGTTTAAAAATATTCCTTGCAGTATTGTTTAGAATAGAGAAAAAAATAAGCTGGGGATAACCTAATATCAAGAATAGAGGATCTGTTCATTAACCTATGCAAACCTTTATAAATATATAACAGTGCTATACAACAGACTTCTCAGCATTAGTGGAAATGTTCCGTATCCGTGCTGTGTAGTACAGTTGTCATTACTCACATGTGGTTATTGAGTTTTTGACATGTGGCTGGTGGGACTGAGGAAACTGAATTTCTAATTTAATTTATTTTGATATAGTTTTAATTGATTTTAACTGAATTTAAATAGCCACATTGCCTAGTGATTTCTGAAAAGATCAGCTCATATTTAAAATAACGGAGTATTTGTTGGCATAAAAAATATCCATAATAGATTGCTAAGGTAGGTTATATAGAGAATATTTATAAGTAACCCTTTTGTGTGTGTGCACAAGTGTGGGTGTTCACATACATACAACCCGAGGGCTCCACACGAAAATGTCATCAATAGGTACCAGACAGTAGCAATATGGATGATTTTTACTTTCTTCCTTAAACTTTTCTGTAGTGTCTGAAATTCCCAAAGCAGACTGTAATATTTTTATACATAGAAAGGTGCAGCAATTTTCATTTAAAAAAATAAAATGGCTAAAAGCTAATGCTGTAATACTGCAGGAAAATTGCTGATGGTATTGCAAATTGATATAATTACTTTGGAAAAAATTAAATATATCTGTACCTCAAGAATGTATCCTAAAATAACTCTCAAAAGAAGGGGAAAGATTTCTTCAGAAATCTTGTCCTTAGAGAATAATTATTCCAAATTATTTTGCAACAAGTTAATACAACTCTCTTTAAATGTGTCTGGAATTTATAATGGAATGTGAAAAAGGAAAAATATTAAAAGCTGATTTAGGATAGTATAACATTATCTGTTTTATTTTCCTTTAAAGTTTTAGTAATACTATCTTAAGAAATGAATCTTTGTAGAAGAGCTAGTTAGTGAAGCACTAATTACTGAAAAATAATCCCGTGGTTCTCAATGACTTAGCACAACTGAGGTTTATCACTCATTCACATCATAGTCTGATGTAGATGGGACAGCTGTCCTGGATGGCTGTATTTTGAGTGGTAACTCCTTTCATCCCTTGGCCTCCACTGTCACTATGAAAGGGAAGAGAAAATATAGAGGATCATGCAAGAAGTTTGATGACCAGATCTACATTCCATTGACCAGAATCCAGTCATATGACCCAGATTCAACCACAAGGGACCTTGGTAAATGTTACCTTCCTTAATGCCCAAGAAGAATGATAAACTGGTCGTATTCATTTGCTTTCTTGATAAATGTATTAAGTAGGTTGATCATGTTGGTGCATGCTACTGTGAGAGGGCCAAAGACTTTCAGATTTTTTTTTTTAAATATAGAAAATCACAAGTATCATGTAATTGTTTTAGTCCAGTCAGGCTGCTATAACAAACTACCATAGACTGGGTAGCTTAACCAACAAACATTCATTTCTCACAATGCTAGAGAAAGAAAAAGTCTGAGATCTAGGTGCTAGCAGATTCTGTGTCTGGTGAGAGCCTGCTTACCGGTTCATAGAGGTTTGTCTTCTTGCTATAACCTCATGTGGCAGAAGGAAGTGAGAAACTCTCTGGAATCTCTCTTATAAGGGCACTAATCCCATTTTGGAGGGCTCCACCCTCATGACCTACAACTTCCCAAAGGCCCTACTTCTAAACATCATCACATTGGGAATTAGGATTTAACATACAAATTTGGGGGGACAAATATTCAGTCTATAGCAATAATAATTATCCAAGTTCTTACTTCCAGAATTGATCACTTGTAACATTTTGTTATATAACATTTTGTTATAATATCATATTGCATTATACAGATCTGCACAGTTTCTTTGTCATTAGTATGTTTTAGGAACAATGTTCATACTTAGCATTGTAGTTCACTTTTTTAAATTATAGTCATGTAGTTCATTGCATGACTATACCACATGTTTATTTCTCTATTATGGGACATTGTGGTTATTCCCATTTTTCTCTATAACAATTCTGCAAAGGACAGCCTTCAACATGTCTTCTTAAGCATCTGTAAGAGGATTAATGCCTAGAAGGCAATTTGCAAAGTCAAAAATACTCAACTTTTTTTAACATGTAAAACAGGTATAACTTGTATACATGTGTGAAGATGTAAAACACATGTATATCAAGTTTGCAGATGACACTAACTCAGAAGGGAGAGATAACTTGTTAGATGACAAAAATCAATTTTCAAACTACGTAAGTTAGAATATGGAGTTATAGCCACCAAGATGGAACTCTTGCATTTATTCAAAAGAATTAACTGCCCATTGTAGAAAGGCAGAAATAGAACTAGATAGCAGTTTATCTGAAAAACATCTAGGGATGTTAGTTAATCTCTACTTTGCTGTGAACCAACTCCCAACTTTGCTGTGACTCCCATCATGTACACTATATTAATAGAAGAATGAACTTTACCGGGTCTCAACTCTAAACTAATTGCACTCTACCAAGTCAGAACTCCATGACATTTAAATGAAACCAATTCATATTAACATAGACAAAAGGGAGAAAGCAGTGACTTCACATACTACATTGCAGAGAGGGTGGGGTTGGAGTAAAGCTGTAAGAACTAAACCAGGCCTCTATGCTGCTATGACCCCATATCTCCCTTTTACTAACCCCCATCAGTGTATCTCTCTGCCTGCTGGATTTATTCTCTAAGCCACCAAATGTCATGGTTGAGGCTAGTCATGGCCATAGCAGATCTAGATGATCTTCATCTGCAGTTTCTTTTTTTTTTTTTGTAATTTTATTATGTTATGTTAGTCACCATACATTACATCATTAGTTTTTAGATGTACTGTTCCACGATCCATTGTTTTCGTATAACACCCAGTGCTCCATGCAGTACGTGCCCTCGTTAATACCCATCACCGGGCTAACCCATCCCCCCTCCCCCCTCCCCTCTAAAACCCTGTTTGTTTCTCAGAGTCCATAGTCTCTCATGGTTCATCTCTCCCTCCAATTCCGCCCCCCTTCATTTTCCCCCTCCTTCTCCTAATGTCCTCCATGCTATTCCTTATGTTCTACAAGTAAGTGAAACCATATGATAATTGACTTTCTCTGCTTGACTTATTTCACTTAGCATAATCTCTTCCAGTCCCATCCATGTTGATGTAAAAGTTGGGTATTCATCTGGTGTCCACACTAAGTTCGGCATCAATATGGTGACCTCCCGGGAGATGGGGACCACCAGGTTGCCTAAGGAGGGGTGAACCAGACCAGATCGGAAACGGAGCAGGTCAAAACTCCTGTGCTGATCATCTGCAGTTTCAACTCAGAAACTCCCAGGGGAAGCTTCTATTCAACCAATGCAATGGTCTGAAATTTGTGTGCCCCAAATTCATATGTTAAATCCTAACCCCCAGTGTGATAGTATTAGCACCTGGAGCTAATTAGGTAGGTAATTAGGTCATGAGGGTGGAACCCTCATAAATGTGATTAGTGGCCTAATAAAAGGACCCCAGAGAGCTCTCTTACCACTTTTTTTTTTTTTCCTGCCATGTGAGGATATGAGAAGTCAATCACCTGCAACCTGGCACAGGGCTCTCACCAGAACCCAGCAATGCTGTCACTCTGATCTGGGATCTCCAGCCTCCAGAAGTGTAAGAAACAATGATCTGTGGTTTATAAGCCAGCCAAAACACCCAACACGGGTCTTGTGCCCATATCCTGGACAAATCAGGATGGCAACCCCCTCTAGAATCAGTGGTTGGAGCAGGAGAGGAATACCTAATCTATAGCCTTAGGAGGATCATCTTTGACCCAGAAGCCAATCTGTATCTTCTAAAGTTATTGTCCTTCCTGTTGAAGTCACTAAGAATATAGTTATCTGCCAGCATGTTTATTTTACTTGCCTGTCTTAGAACTATCTCCTGATTCTGTGAGTCTTATTTAGGCTCTGTGGTCAATGTCACAAAGACAATGAGTCCTGGATATATAAAAGTAAAAGAAAATATGTGACATTTTATTCACTATGTGATTTTTTCCCACTGATTTCATATTTTTAAGACTTATAAAAGTAGAATACTTATTTATCATGGCTGATATCAAGAAAAGTGCTTCTATCAGTTGAACGGAGCTCTTGCAAAGGTTTGCAGCAGGTATAACCAGAATACCTGCTTGAACTATGTGTGTGAGTCATTACCAAACTTGATATTTCTTGAGCTCTGACTGTGGGCAACCCCATAGGTGTGGGCCTACACCAAGGGATTGATAATCTCACAGGTCCAACAAAACTGTGTGAATAACAACCAGAGAAGATGGATCACACGCAGGGGGAAGGGCCTAATCAGCCACTAGTTTCTGAGTAGTGGTTCCTGATCAACATCAGATCTTCAGGGGGGCCTCAATAGAAACCAGACAAGAACAGGATATTTGGAAGAAATGAGATTCTAACAGGACATAAAGGAGTAAAGACAACTGTTTACAAAGAGAGAAAGAGACAGGACACAGACTCGTATTTAAGAATATTTCACCAGACACGCCACCTCAGTGGGTCTAAAACAAGACCTAGAGGCAGAATCACCTGAAAAATCAAAAATAAATAAATAAATAAATAAATAAATATTTTAAAATAAGGATCCTGGGCCCCAAGTCCAAAAGTTCTCATCTAGTCCATCTGAGCAGACTTTCATGATTTATACGTTTAAGTAATAACATAGCTGATAATCTGTAGCACTTACTATTTGGCAGACACTTAGCTTCTAAGTGTTTTATATATAATAGTCACTCTCTAAGTCCTCATTATAACTGTATGAATTAGGAACTAATGATTATCATCCTTTATGGTGAGAAAACTCAAACCCCGAGAGGCTAAGTAACTTGACCAATGCCACGTACGGCTGGGATTTGAACCCAGGCCGTGAGGCTGCAAAGTCTGTCTCTAATCACTTTGCTGCATGATTCTCAAAAAAGAAAAAGTGCTGGCTGCAAATCTCTCTGGGTGATTCTGATGAATCCAGTTGTCAGACCGGCATTTGGAAAGCAAGGCCCTGTAAACGTGAGAAAATTATCATTCACTGAACTCTACTTAAGAGAAGGGACTCTGTCTTCCTCAGTGCCTGGGACATAGTAGGTATGGAATGCTGTTGACTATACTGCAGAGAGAGGGAGTCCGCAGAAGCAAGGGTTTGCAGGGGGAAATCTGGTGAGCCTGCTACTGCAGGAAGAAAGTGGGGCGAACCGAGTGACTCACACCATGTTTCCTGTCCCCTTTAAAGGAAAGTGCCAAGAAGTAGAGAATAAGAGATGCACCATTCTGACCCGACTTGCAATGCCCGGCCCAGCCTCTTAATCCTTTGCCTCTTCATTACTTGGAGAAATAAGGCTCTCCACTTTTCTCTTTCAGCACATTCTTCCCCTAGTTCTATCCTCTTTAGAAACATTATAGAAGAGTAAGGGGGATGCAAAACTCCAAGCCGTTGGTTTCCCTGCTTGTTAAGGAAGCCAATAAATTGTTTGTACATAACAGATACTTTTGGGTTGGGTGAGAAGATAAAAGAATGCACAAAGAGATGGATAGATGTCAAATAGTTGACCATTATTTATGTCACCTGTGGATTTAGCAGGACTGGCTTTTCCTCTGGTGACATGCAGTATGATGTTATGATAATTGCACTGTCCTTAGAATCAGGCAGCTTAGGTTCAATCCTGATTCTACCACTTACTAGCTGTGTGACCTTTAGCAGTGACTTGTCCTCTTTTTTCTTTTTTAAGATTTTATTTATTTATGAGACAGAGAGAAAGAGAGAGAGTGCATGAGAGCAGAAGTGGGGGAAGGGGTAGAGGGAGAGGGAGAAGTAGACTCCCCACTGAGCAGGGAGCCTGAAGTGGGGCCCCAACCCAGGACCCTGGGATCATGACCTGAGCCAAAGGCAGACACTTAACCGACTAAGCCACCTAGGTGTACCCTCCTCTATCTTTTTTAAAATGAAGAAAATAATATCATTTCATTTAAACTTGTGATAATAACAGCACTTACTTCCAAAAGGTGTTGTGAGATAATGTATATGCTAAGCACAATGTCCAGTACATTAAAAAAAAAGCTTAATTGTTGATAATGATATCATAAGAAATGATATCAAATTTGGTTGTTTGAAATTGCCCTTCTAATATCATTTCAGGGTAAAACTTTGCAGGTGTTATTTCTTCTGGAAGGCAAGATTTGAATTTTGGGGTCTGAAAGGCAATATCAGACTTTATTCAGATTGGCATGGAAGGGAAAAAAAAATGAAGGAAAAAGGAAAGAAGGGGAGGAAGAAAAAATACAAAAGAATAGATAACATTTCTTTTTCTGAAAACTACATCAATATTTCTTTATACTCATGGTAATTCAAAATGTTTGGCTACCAGTGATGAAGTTATCCCAATTATAATTCTCAGCAAGGAAATAGTCCGTTTCTGAGAAAATTGTATATCTAGAAAGTCCTGAGGACCTAAATAGTCCATGTTCAGAAAAGGGAAAATGTCAAGGTTATGACCTAAGATTACCCCAACCAGAGAGCTCAATTAATATCCTCAGGGTTGTATGTTCTAGATGTGTATATTATTTATTTATATAAGAATTTATTTTAGTGCATCAGAATCAGTATGGTACATTAGAGTTAAACAAACCTTAATTTGAATTCCAGCTCTAATATTTAATAGTTGCATGGCCATGGACAGATTGCTAGCAACTATACACCTCAGTTTCTTCATGCATAAAGGGGAAAACATGTTAGGATGATTAAACAAGATCATACACCTAAAGCATTTAGCCCAAAACCTAGCATATGGTAAGAACTCAGTAAATATTGTTTATACTTAACGTTCATTGTTATTATTATTTTCTGCTCACTTCTTTTATGAAGTGCCTCCTACTCTGGGGTGTCAATACAGACTCAACATGGCCTAGAGTGGGGAGTCCCTCAGCTTTTGCTTTGCTCAGGTCATACCCAGAGCCCACCCATCCAAACAAATGTACCATTCCTTTTACCCCATCTTAATTTTTCTCTTGTTCCACATCCTGCATCTGGAGATTGTCTCTTTGCCAAAATGGCTTTAGGCCGCCTCCCCTCTCTGTACAAAAGTCCTTAAAACCTCCACTCTTCGAGCAATTTTTTTTCTTCCAACTAACTGGAAGTGAAGAAAGATTCCCCTCCCTTCATCTAGCACCGCGTTTTGACTTATAATTCCATTTCAACAGAACCACTTGCACTAATTGCTTATACATGATGTAAATAATTCATTAGAAATGCATATTTGTTTCATGTTTACATACTTGCCATGCGTCTGCATAGTCTGCTATATCAATCAAGGAAATAACAAGACTCTCGGTCACCAAGGAGAATGGAAAACCCCCCTCTTTAAATAGGTAACAATGTAAGGCGCATGCAAGTCAGTCTTGGAAATACAGAATGCTAGCACAGCAAGGGACTTTGGAATCTATATATTTTAACACTATCACTTTATAAATGTGGAAAATAAGTCCCAGAGTATTACACCATGGCCACAGAAGACCACATTCTGGATTGGGAGAAAGGCTGGACGCTGGGAAGGGAAAAAAGGTGGGCATGGCAAAGCCACATATACAGGGGTTAAAACCAGGGTTTTGACACTGTAGACCACACCTTAGGAAGTATTTCACCCTGGGCAGGAAATACCAATATTCCAGTAGTAGGTCCTAGACCAAAGTAAAGGAAAATAGTCCTTGTACCTGAGGAGGTAGCCAAGTATTTCTTGCCTCTCCCCAAAATAGTGGATTGTCTTCAAACTGCCAGGGCCATTACCATCACCTCACTGCCTTCTCCACTAAGACCAAGAATGAAATAGAGAGGACTAAATTTTAGTATTTTCTGATATTGGAGAGGAACAGGGTGCTATAGTCTCTGAAGAGTTTCTTTACTGAGCAGGAGTGCTGGTAGCCCCAGATTTCCTGGGCCCAGATCTTAAACCCACCTCAGCTGTGGCTACACACAGAGCGCCCAGAGCTGACAGGGGCAGCTTATCATGGGCCACATTAGTACCCCATTGTCATCTTCAAGCACGGCGGTGGAAGCCTCAAGGCAGTGACAGTGAAAGAGTGTTGGGCATCCAGAGTAGAAAGTTCTATATGCTTACCATTATTTGCTCTACAGAGTATTTGAGAGGGACTCACATATGGAGCACTGTGGGAGTGGAAAAGTAATGTCCCTGTCCCTCTGGAAGAAGGACAGCATAGCCCCTGGCATCCAGGGGCTAAGAAAGTTTCATACCCTAAGGCCGAAGCTAGAC